CCCCGAGATGTCGAAGGAGCGGTGCTGCTTCCGCTCCTCCCACTCCGCGTCGGTGAAAGGCGCCTTCACGTTCTCCAAGCGGTCGACCGTGTTGCCCGGGCGGTAGTCGGAGCCACCGGGGCCTTCGTACCAGCGGCCGTAGTGCATGGTGCCGCGCTCCATCTGCCTGCGCCAATCCACGGCGGGCTTGCGGTACTTGGCCGAGGGCGCCAGCCCCTGCTCCTTGGCCTTGTACTGCAGCAGGGTGGCCTGCCACGATTTGTGCTGGGCGATCGCCTTCTCGAAGCCGTCGTTCTCCGACTTCACCTTGAACTCCTGGACGCCCTTGGGCAGCGCGGCCCAGATCTTGTCCTTATAGCCTGGGAACATCTTGTCGGCGATGCCCCCGCCGCCGCCGCGGGCCGCAACGGAGCGTCGCAGCATCCTCCCGCGACAAGCCTCTGGCCAGGGCGGCGGGGGGGTGGCAGCCACGGTGCCAGGAAACGGACGGGCTGGGGCATGGGCCGAAACGGCCACGTGCCGTCATCGTCGATCGTCGATCGTCGTCGCCGTCGATCGTCGATCGTCGATCGTCGTCGTCGTCGTCGTCGGTCGTCGTCGTGGTCGTCGTGGTCGTCGTCGCCGCCGCCGAAGCCGCCGTCGTCGCCGTCGTCGTCGTCGTCGTCGTCGTCGTCGTCGTCGTCGTCGTCGTCGTCGTACTCGTCATCGTCATCGTCTTCGTCGTCGTCGCCGTCGATCGTCGATCGCCGTCGTCAATCGTCCTCGTCAATCGTCGTCGTCGTCGTCGTCGGCCTCGTCGTCGATCGTTGATCATCGTCGTCGTCGTCGATCGTCGTCGTCGTCGTCGTCGCCGCCACCGTCGTCGTCGTCGTCGTCGTCGTCGTCGTCATCGTATCGATCGTCGTCGCCGATCGTCGACATCGGGGTTGATCGTCGATAGTCGATCGTCGTCGATCGTCGATCGTCGTCGTCGTCGATCGTCGATCGTCGATCGTCGTCGTCGTCGTCGACGTCGTCGGTCGTCTTCGTCGTCGTCGGTCGTCGTCGTCGTCGTCGTCGCCGTCGTCGTCGCCGATGCCGCCGTCGTCGTCGCTGTCGTCGTCGTCGTCGTCGTCATCGTCATCGCATTCGTCGTCGTCGCCGTCGATCGTCGATCGTCGTCGTCAATCGTCCTCGTCAATCGTCGTCGTCGTCATCGGCCTCGTCGTCGATCGTCGATCGTGGTCGTCGTCGTCGTCGTCGCCGTCGTCGTATTCGTCATCGTCGTCGATCGTCGTCGCCGATCGTCGACATCGGGGTCGATCGTCGATAGTCGATCGTCGTCGATCGTCGTCGTCGTCGATCGTCGATAGTCGATCGTCGTCGTCGTCGTCGTCGTCGCCGTCGTCGTCGTCGTCGCCGTCGTCGTCGCCGATGCTGCCGTCGTCGTCGCCGTCGTCGTCGTCGTAGTCGTCGTCGTCGTCGTCGTCGTCGTCGTCGTCGTCATCGTCATCGCCTTCGTCGTCGTCGTCGTCGATCGTAGTCGTCAATCGTCCTCGTCAACCGTCGTCCTCGTCGGCCTCGTCGTCGATCGTTGATCATCGTCGTCGTCGTCGATCGTCGTCGTCGTCGTCGTCGTCGTCGCCGCCGTCGTCGTCGTCGTCGTCGTCATCGTCGTCGATCGTGGTCGCCCGATCGTCGACATCGGGGTCGATCGCCGATAGTCGATCGTCGTCGATCGTCGATCGTCGTCGATCGTCGATAGTCGATCGTCGTCTTCGTCGTCGGTCGTCTTCGTCGTCGTCGTCGCCGTCGTCGTCGCCGATGCCGCCGTCGTCGTCGCCGTCGTCGTCGTCGTCGTCGTCGTCGTCGTCGTCATCGTCTTCGTCGTCGTCGCCGTCGATCGTCGATCGTCGTCGTCAATCGTCCTCGTCAATCGCCGTCGTCGTCGTCGGCCTCGTCGTCGATCGTCGATCGTCGATCATCGTCGCCGTCGTCGATCGTCGTCGTCGTCGTCGTCGCCGCCGTCGTCGTCGTCGTCATCGTCGTCGATCGTCGCCGCCGATCGTCGACATCGGGGTCGATCGTCGATAGTCGATCGTCGTCGATCGTCGATCGTCGCCGTCGTCGATCGTCGATCGTCGATCGTCGTCGTCGTCGTCGTCGTCGGTCGTCGTCGTCGTCGTCGCCGTCGTCGTTGCCGAAGCCGCCGTCGTCGTCGCCGTCGTCGTCGTCGTCATCGTCGTCGTCGTCGTCGTCGACATCGTCCTCGTCTTCGTCGTCGTCGCCGTCGATCGTCGATCGTCGTCATCAATCGTGCTCGTCAATCGTCGTCGTCGTCGTCGGCCTCGTCGATCGTTGATCATCGTCGTCGTCGTCGTCGTCGTCGTCGCAGCCGTCGTCGTCGTCATCGTCGTCGATCGTCGTCGCCGATCGTCGACATCGGGGTCGATCGTCGATAGTCGATCGTCGTCGATCGTCGATCGTCGTCGTCGTCGATCGTCGATCGTCGATCGTCGATCGTCGTCGTCGTCGTCGTCGGTCGTCTCGTCGTCGTCGTTGCCGTCGTCGTCGTCGTTTCGTCGTCAATCGTCGATCGTCGTCGTCGTCTTCGTCGCCGTCGTCGTCCGCCGTCGTCGTCGTCCGTCGTCGTCGTCGTCGTCGTCGATCGTCGTCGTCGTCGTCATCGTCGTCGTCGTCGTCGTCATCGGCCTCGTCGTCGATCGTCGATCGTCGTCGTCGTCGATCGTCGTCGTCGTCGTTGCCGTCGTCGTCGTCGTCGATCGTCGTCGTCGTCGTAGTCATCGGGGTCGATCGTCGATAGTCGATCGTCGTCGATCGTCGATCGTCAATCGTCGTCGTCGCCAATCGTCGGAAATCGTCGTCGTCGTGGTCGCCGTCGTCGTCGTCGTCGATCGTCGTCGTCGTCGTCGTCGTCGGTCGTCGTCGTCGTAGTCGTCGTCGTCACCACCGTCGTCATCGTCGTCGTCGTCACCGCAAGCGTCATCGTCGATCGTCGATCAACCATCGTCGTTGATCGTCGTCGTCGTCGTCGGCGTCGGCCTGATCGTCGATCGTCGATCGTCGTCGTCGGTCGTCGTCGATCGTCGTCGTCGTCGGTCGCCGTCGTCGTCGTCGTCGTCATCGGGGTCGATCGTCGATAGTCGATCGTCGTCGATCGTCGATCGTCGTCGTCGTCGTCGATCGTCGAAAATCGTCGTCGTCGTCATAGTCGTCGTCGATCGTCGTCGTCGTCGTCGCCGCCGTCGTCGCCGCCGTCGTCGTCGTCGTCGTCGTCATCGTCGGCGTCGATCGTCGTCGTCGTCGTCGGCATCGTCGTAGTCGATCGTCGAACGTCGTCGTCGTCGTCGTCTTCGTCGGCGTCGGCCTCGTCATCGATCGTTGATCGTCGTCGTCGTCGTCGTCGATCGTCGCCGTCGTCGTCGGTGTCGTCGTCGGGGTCAATCGTCGATAGTCGATCGTCGTCGATCGTCGATCCTCGTCGTCGTCGATCGTCGAAACTCGTCGACGTCGTCGTCGTCGTCGATCGTCGTCGTCGTCGTCGGCGTCGTCGTCGATCGTCGATCGTCGTCGTCGTCGTCGTCGTCGTCGTCGTCGTCGTCGGTCACCGTCGCCATCGCAGTCGCCGTCGTCGTCACCACCGTCGTCGTCGTCGTCGTCATCGTTGTCGTCGTCGTCGACGTCGATCGTCGTCGTCGTCATCGTCGTCGTCGTCGTCGATCGTCGATCGTCGTCGATCGTCGATCGCCGTCGTCGTGGTCGCCGTCGTCGTCGCCGTCGTCGTCGTCGAACGCTGATCGTCGTCGTCGTTGATCGTCGTCGATCGTCGTCGTCGTCGTCGTCGCCGTCGTCGTCGTCATCGTCGTCGTCGTCGATCGTCGTCGTCGTCGTCGATCGTCATCGTCGATCGTCGTCGTCGTCGTCGATCGTCGTCGTCGTCGTCGGCGTCGGCGTTGGCGTCATCGTCGTCGTCGTCATCGTCGTCGTCGGCGGCGATCGGCGATCGGCGATCGTCGTCGTCGTCGTCGTCGTCACCGCCGTCGTCGTCGTCGTCGTCGTCGTCGTCGTCGTCGTCGCCGTGGTCGTCGAACGTCGTCGTCGTCGTAGTCGTCGTCGTCGACGTCGGCGTCGGCGTCGTCGTCGGCGTCGTCGTCGTCGTCGTCGTCGCCGTCGTCGTCGTCGACACCGCCGTCGTCACCGCCGTCGTCGTCGTCGTCGTCGTCGGTCGTCGTCGTCGATCGTCGTCGTCGTCATCGTCGTCGTCATCGTCGTCGTCGTCGTCGTCGATCGTCGTCGTCATCGTCGTCGTCAATCGTCGTCGTCGTCGTCGTCGATCGTCGTCGTTGGCGTCGGCGTCGGCGTCGTCGTCGATCGACGATCGTCGTCGTCGTCGATCGTCGTCGTCGTCGTCATCGTTGCCATCGTCGTCGTCGTCGATCGTGGTCGTCGTCGTCGTCGTCGTCGTCGTCGCCGTCAGGGTCGGCGTCGGCGTCGGCGTCGATCGTCGATCGTCGTCGAGCGTCCATCGTCGTCGTCGTCGTCATCGTCGTCGTCGTCATCGTCGTCGTCGTCGTCGTCGTCGGCGTCGGCGTCGATCGTCGATCGTCGATCGTCGTCGATCGTCGTCGTGATCGGCGTCGCCGTCGTCGTCGATCGTCATCGTCATCGTCATCGTCGTCGTCGTCGTCCGTCGTCAGTCGATCGTCGTCCGTCGTCGTCGTCGTCGTCCATCGTCGTCGTCGTCGTCGTCCGTCGTCGATCGTCGTCGTCGTCGTCGATTCGTCGATCGTCGTCGTCGTCGGTCGTCGTCGTCGTCGTCGTCGACGTCGTCGATCGTCGATCGTCGTCGTCGTCGATCGTCGTCGTCTTCGTCAGCTCGGCGCGGTCGTCGTATCGTCGTCGTCGTCGTCGTCGATCGTCGTCGTCGTCGTGTCGTCGTCAGCGGCGTCGGCGTCGATCGTCGATCGTCGTCATCGTCGTCGATCGTCGATCGTCGTCGTCGTCATCGTCGTCGATCGTCGGCGTCGTCGTCGTCCCCACCGTCGTCGATCGTCGTCGTCGTCGTCGATCGTCGTCGTCGCCGTCGATCGTGATCGTCGTCGTCGTCGCCGTCGTCGTCGCCGTCGTCGCTGCGACGTCGTCGCCGTCGTCGTCGTCGTCGGCGTCAAACGTCGTCGTCGTCGATCGTGGATCGTCGTCGTCGTCGTCGTTGTCGTCGTCGTCGTCACCGTCGTCGCCGTCATCGTCGTCGCCATCGTCGTCGCCGCCGCCGTCGTCGTTGTCGCCGTCGTCGTCGTCGTCGTCGGCGTCGTTGTCGTCGTCGTCGTCGATCGTCGTCGTCGTCACCGTCCTCGTCGCCGTCATCGTCGTCGCCGTCGTCGTCGTCGTGGTCGTCGTCGCCGTCAATCGTCGTCGTCGTCGTCGGCGTCGTCTTCGTC